CTGTTGCTGTTGCTGTTGCTGTTGCTGTTGCAGTTGCAGTTGCAGTTGCTGTTGCTGTTGCTGTTGCTGTTGCTGTTGCTGTTGCTGTTGCTGTTGCTGTTGCTGTTGCTGTTGCTTGCTGTTGTTGTTGTTGCTGCTGCAGTTGTTGTTCCTTGATGTTGTTGTCGTTGTTGGTTGCTCTTGTTGTCGTTGTTGTTGGTGGTGATGGTGGTGATGATGTTGCTGCTGGTGTCGTTGTGTTGTTGTTGCTGTTATTGTTGTTGTTGTTGTTGTTGTTGTTGTTGTTGTTGTTGGTGGTGGTGGTGGTGGTGGTGGTGGTGGTGGTGGCGGTGATGGTGGTGTTGGTGGTGTTTTTGTTTTTGTTGTTGTTGTTGTTGCTGTGCTGCTGCTGGTGTTGCTGTCTGGGCTCTTGTGTCTTGCATTGCTTGGTTTGGTTCGCTTCTTTTCCTCATTTTGTGCTTGGAGCGGTCATTCACAAGGTCGGAGTGGCGCGCTTGATTTGGGTGCTGGTGTTGCCTCGTTGCGTGACTGTGTGAGTGTGTTTGTTGTCGGAGATTCTCCTGGGAGTGGCCGGTCGCCTTAGCCGCGAGGACTCCACCCGAGATCCTCATGCTGGCGTGGAACATCGTATCGTAGCCCTGCTTTGGGAGCTCGAGACCCCAGATCAAGAGCCAGATCATGAACAAGACTGCCCAAGTGCCCCATGAGAAGGCGGTTGCGAGGAGCATGTCGTACCAAGCGATGGCCTGGAATGCCTCACAGACTTGAAGCTGGGGCCAAGCAGCCTGGACTGCTGGGCAACCCCAACGCATCTCGAACATCACCATGCAGGGCATCACGTGGATGAGAGCAGAACAGGCCAAGGCAAAGTCATGGAAAATCATGGAATTCTCCTGGGTTCTTGTGAAAGACTTTACTTCAAGTCACCACCGTAGGGATCTCTACATATCTCTACTAAACACGTCTGCAATAGTATGGTTTCCTAATTCGGGTAACTTAAACTCACCTCGAATTCCCGAAGAAACCCTAAACCCTAAACCCTGAACCCTAGCCCAGTCTCCAAAAGGACCGTGGCCCCAAGCAGAGGGCCGGTGCTCACGCCCCAGGCCGCCGCGAAGAACCAGCTCTGAGCCTCGAGGCTTGGCTCAAAAGTGGCCAAGAGGACGAAGCCGCAGCCCAAGGCCACGTTGGCCTCGACAGAGAAAGCAAAAAGGCTTAGGGTTTATAGGGTTTTAGGGTTTAAGGTTTAGGGTTTAGGGTTTTAGAGTTTAGGGTTTAGGGCTCTTAAAGTCTTAAAGCTGCATCTGATGATAGACCAAGCAGCCACCCAACAGAATTCGGTGAGGTAGAAGACCTCGCTGGGCTTGGCCGCAGCAAAGGATTGCCATCGGAACGGCAGCATAGCACAAACCTCTGCCTCGGCTGCTTCTTCTTGTTCTCGGTTTTTTTGGTTTTGGACTCTCAGCTTTGGTTTTCTTCACGGGATCCGCGAACAAATACAAGAACGGCCCAGCCACAACATAGATCATCCACAGATAACCTCGCAGGGCTCCGAAGCACCAGGCAAGGAAAAGAATGTTCGCGACGCCAATCGCAAAATTCGCCTGGGTCATGCCCTTCTCCTTGAACTTTGCTGCCCTAGCTTCGATGGCACGGATGCCCTTGCTCAACTTGTCTGCACCGAACTGTTGGAGAGTCTCCTCTCCCGACATCTGTTCCATCTTCAGACAAACTGTGTCTCCACTATCAGTACGACAGCTCAGCAAGGGACACGCCGAATTAAGGCTTACCACAGAAGATCTTACCAGAGCAGCTCGAGCCGGGCAACTGAGTTTGAAATCGTGGCTCGTATGATCAAAAAGACATCAGACAACGCTCTCGTTTTCAAGCCATTCTGCAACAACTGATCGAGGTCTTCGAACCTTCCTGTGGAGCCTTCGTGCGGTTTTATGTGAGTCTGTAAGCACTGGGCACTGAACTGGACCTCTTCCGCTTTCCGGGTCCAAGACATTCGGCGCGACCGTGAGGCGCAGCGCCCTCATTGGTGTCAGGGTCGCAGGGGAACGGTCACAGCGCTTCTGAACACGATGCCCATGAAGGAACCCACGCGCCTCTACCTTCTAGGATATTTATGAGTCTTCAAACCAAGCCAAGGCTGAGCTGTCTGAAAATGGCAAGGTCTTCGTAGTTTTGGTTCCTGCATTCCTGGCTGCTCGTGCAGAGACCGGAAGCCCCGGGTGCAGCCCAAAAGCTGCAGCAGAACTTGACTGGCTTTGCTTTGGCAAAGCCAAACAATGAGGCAAATATAAACTAAATAGTCACAACGACTAGTGCGAGGCCACATACCTGCAGTATGGAGCGGAAAATGACTAGTGCTGTTCTCGGCCGCTTCGACATAACGGCCAGTCAGGAACTTCGGACATTAACGGCGCTAAGCGACCTTGGCACACTGCCAACACGACTCAAGGTTCCAGGTCGTACAAGATTACAAACAGCAGAAAATAAAAACTATGAAGGTGAGCCAAGCTTCTTTGCCCCCGTCGCGCTTGCCAAGTTTGTCGAGCAAGGCCTTCTGCAGGCTATCCTGGGCGATTTTGCACGGAATTCTAGCAATAGACTGTGCGAGAGCATTATGCAAGGGAGCTCCTGGTGTCCGGGCAGGAGGAGTCAAGTTCCTCTTCTCCTGCTTGTTCGTTTTCTCGACAGGAACACTGTCTCTGTGCGCTCCCTATCGCTGAAGTCACTGAGAAACTGTCGGGAACAGCTGCTGGTTCTTATCTCACATTTAGCAGATTCAGGGGCCGGGCGTCTCGTTCAGAATCGAAGCAAAGGACGTTTGACCTCAGATCCTTATAAGGTGAAGTAGTTTCTGCTCCGAACGGTACATGCTTATGGGCATGTGTTTCACTCTACATCGGCCCGTGTCAATGGTCAGTGTTTGCAAGACACAGTGTTAAGTGTGCCTGCTGGCGGTTTGGATCAAGATTCTTGACATGGTCTCCAAGCCCTCCAGGGCAACTGACTGGGACTGGACTCGTTATACTGGCTGGGACTGGAAGACACCCAAGCGCGTCAGGGGACTGCCGTATGTCAATTGACGGTTAGGGACTCAGCTGGGAGCATAGAGCGAAGGGTCGTAAAATAGGTCTAGAGTCCGGTGCGCCCACTTCCAAGGCCAAGTCCCATGCTGTGCGACTGCGAGAGTTTTCAAGGTCCAGCCGTGCTCCCATCTTCACAAGAGCCAAGACTCCTTGCAAGGATGGTCCCCGGTCCCTTACCTTTCTAGAACCCATTCCACACTCCTGTCTTTTCCGTGCTATCTTAGGTGCTTGGGACTGAAGCCGCCTGCATATTGTCCAGAAAGCACGCCCAGCATAAGCGGTGTGCTGTCGTAGCTGTGATAGGCAATTCGCGTGGATGTTGTGATCCTGCCGAGTCGATGCTGTAGGCTCAGGCTCGCACAACTGATTCCAAGTAGTGATGCTGCCGGCGTCTTGAGCCTTCCATCCAAGTCGGCACGCGCACTGATCAGTCTGGAAAGGACCTCTTCCGCACCGCCTCGATACCACATGGCAAAGTGCAGTGCCCTCGATGTGTCCACCTCATCTTGTATGCGGCTGACCAGCTCGTCCAGGCATGCCACGGCACCTGCCCCAGCGGCAACCTCTAGCGGTGACATCCCGAAGGAATTCTTGGTTGTGGGGCTGGTGCCAGCGTCGCACAGGATACGGATGCCCTCTGCGTTGTCGGTAGTGGCTGCTGAGGAGATAGGCGGGTTCCACCCGGAGTCGATCTTGGCCTTTGCCTCGAGCAGCAGCCGCAAGGCTGGGTTCTGGTGAAAGTAAGCACAGATGGACGTCACCGGGTTCCATGCCGTGAGGTTGACGAGAACTTGTGGCTTGCTTGTCTGGGTGTCTGGATCAGCACGTCGATCGAGAAGAGCCTGGACCACCTTCGCATCACCGCTGAGGCATGCATAGCACAGCGGCGACCAGCCTGAAGCGGAAAGTTGCTCTTGACAGCGCTCAGCCGTAACATGCTTTCACGAGGGCTGCAAGCGGTCCTGCTTCATCGACCTCGCGGAAGCTATGGAAGCCATTCTGATTCAGGAAGTGCTCCGCTCGATCTTCTGTCGCGCTCGGTTCAAGTCCTTAGCTTGTCCAGAGAAGCTTTCTCAAAAGCGTACGACTCTGGGAGCCAACCATTGCAGACCAGATTCCGGGAACAATATCGGAGATGCGCTCGGCAAATTCCAAGCCTCTAAAGAGAACGCTCTGCAAGTTCAGGTACACCCGATAAGCCACAGCGTCTTTAGCCCTCAAGGACGACATCAACTTGTTGCGGAGCACTTGAGGCAGCACTTCCGCAATGATCGCTTTGTCCTCCTCGTCCGTAAAGTTGCCCTCACCGGGGGCCCCACCGTAGCAGTTGGCAAGCTGTGGCTGAGCAAATACCTCCATGGTCAGAGGGCCGCGAACAAGGATCCACGGTGCTGACATCTCGCGCACAGCTCGTTCCTGAGGCTGAAGCAACCCACAGCTTCAACGTCGGGGTCCGTCTGGAAAGCATCAAGAGCAAGGACACTTTTTGCAACCCGGCGGCGTATCTGCACCACCCTCGCTGCGCCCAGGAGTGCGGGCTAAGTGTATTGCCCTCCGGGCTCACAACTGCCGGGCAGAGGGCGAAAAAAAAGGCACAATGAGCTATGTATTGGGGAATGCAGGAGGCAACTGTCTTGCGGGTATCGTGGTCTTGCTGGAGCTGTGGGCAAGAGAAATAGTCGTACCAAAGGTACAAGCTCTCGCTGCGGAACTCCTGCGTTTGGATGCCTGTTTGATCGGAATACAGCTGCCCTGAAATTGCATCCGGGGGGATGGCGTCCAAGCTTGACATGATCATCTTCATTGCATCCTGCAAGATCTTCAACTGTTCAAACTTCGGATCGGGATGCTGCTTGCTCACCCACTCGTGGGATATGTAGGCTGCCTTGCCCAATCTGCGTGAGAAGATCCGAAGCAATCCTCTGGCTTTCAGCGTCTCATGCGGCAAGGCTTCGCGCATCTCCAGCCTGACACTGTGCCGCCATTAGACGTCTGAAGGCTTCCGATCCCCTGCTATGACTTGGGCTCTGCACACATTGACACAAGACAAAAGCACGTACAGGAACAGACGAAACGGAGCCTGAGGTCTAGATGCAAGACCGAGCAGCAGGGTAGGCAAAGACACAGTGTACATCTGCAACGCAAGTGATGGATCATGCTCTTCATCGTCTTCTGGGCTTGACGTCCGCGCGAAACTTATTGACCGCTGGAGGCTCTGGAAGGCCCTCCTGGATGGGCTCTGCGATGTTCCCAGCCCCACGGTCTTCGACCTCCTCAAGTCAGGCGTGGAGTGCCCGGTCCGCTGGTCGACAGGACTGCTGCTGCATCCTTCGGTTTTGCAAGAAAAGCGAAAAATCCCAGAATAACTCAAGACAAAAAATCACTAAATGATAACGGTACCATGGAAACAACAGGAACGCTAGCTCAAGCCGAGGATCTGGACAACCTGGTCCTTTGATTCTTCGCGGCATTCGGCTCCTCACCAAGAATGTTTGGCACGCGACTGTTGCCTAGTCCTCGGGGTTGTGTGTTGGTTTGTGCAGCAGCAGTACTTCCCGAAGAGGAGCCAGATTGGCGGGGACACACAAGGGAACTTGCCACGCTCAAGTAACGGACAATGACAAAGACCACGGGGAATAAGGACGCCACGTCGCACACCAAGGTGCCGGTGGTGCTCTGAGCTGTGAGAGACTTAAATAATCAAGGAGAGGCGAAGGAACAGAGTGGGATGTCAAATGGGACAAACGACAGACGGAGACCCGGATCCTGCTGGTCTGCATACTCCAGGGACCCTTTCCGCTTGCAGCATGAGGCCCGCAATAGCTTCCTGATCGCCAAAGCGAACAAATTGCTTGAGGCCTTTGGGGCATCGAAGGTCGAGTCTTCACCAGGAGCATCATCCAAGAGGAGGGGACTTATTGCTCTTGATGAAATCGGTGAGGAGACCGCGCTTGCTGGTGAGCGTGTGGAAGATGGCGACAGCACAAAGGAAGGTCTCTTGTCCAGCGATTTCACGTTCTTGGTGATCGGCGACTCCTCCTCCTTCAACTAACTGAATCAAAAAGTATCGGGAATGGTTGGAGTTCGTAACCCTTCCCATTTTTTACTCGACACGGAAAGAGCCGAGAATGCCGGCTTCGGACAAACTCACACAAACGCAACTCCTGCAACTTCTTCATGTACACATGAAGCGGCGAAGGCTCGGCCATTGAAGCAGACTTTGCACGACGGCTTTGGATAGTCTACAAAGCTGCGCTTGTGCCACAATTTGCCGGGCAAGGCAGGCTGAAGCACTCGAGCAGCGGTGACGGTCGCTAATCTCTTCTGAATCAGAACCTGCAAGATTACACAAATATCCCTAAACCCAAAAGTTGTTGACCGTGGTCAACAGCATCCAGCCTCGAGAGCCTCTCATGCCGAACTGGCCCCGCTGCCTGGAACTGCATTCCAAGCCGTGCCCAAACTCGAATGTTCCAATCCTGCTATTGTTGATTGGGCTTTGAGTAAAGACATGCTGCTTCCTGTCTGCTTCACAAAGCCGATATGCTCGTGGAATCCTCCTAATGAGCCCAAGTGATTACAGAGTCTGGCTGAGGAGCACGAGTCACTACCTAAAGGAGTGGGGGCAGTGGGGCGGGGGGGGGTGACGAATGCAAACTGGTTGCGAATGCTTCAAAGTGACTTACCGTCAAACAACAGACGCTCTCGTGTGCAAGTCACATGCAAATCTCACAAATATATCATCCCAGCTTCCTCGTTGACCCCGCTGTCTCCAGTCGTCTCATGGCGCATGGCCGCATTGCTCGCGCCACTGCAACCGGTCTGGCTTGGTTTTGTGCAGAGCGGGTGTTGGGCTGCCAACACTTGCGTGGTCCCGCAGGCTTAACAACCTAAACTTCAACTTCGCGCAACTCGGGCAGGATGCGTGCGACGGAAACGCATTGAACAGCCGGTGCCCGACATCTGCATGCACGCTGCAACTCCTAGCAGTCCTAGCAAGCCGGCATCACAGACTCTGCGGCTGTGTGTTCCAAGACGAGTCAGACAATCTAGATCTTTCTTTAGGCAAAGACCGGCTTTGATGGCAGCAGCGCACGGCACCGCTGAGCCCAATCAGCGTGACTCAGAAACTTCTTCTTCGACACCGGAACACGGTCGCCAGTTGTTCCTGGCGATAAGCCATGTCGGCCTCGAAGGCACTGAACCACCCTTCCCGGACGAGGAAAACCGAGAAGGCCAGGAAACTCACCAAAAAATCCCGCAAACTCAAGTAGCTTGCAGGATCGGCTGGTCCCCGTTCAACAGGACTGATCGGAGTGGCACATCGGGCCACATTTCGTTTGAAGCATCTAGCTCGCTAGGCTAAACAGAGTTGGGCTCCAGATGTGCTGGAGAAGCGCATGTGAAACTCGCCCCAGCGCGGAAAGATGCCACATTGATCGCGACAAGCATGAAGAACGTTGGAATCATGGATGGCCTTGCGCGTCTGGAAACTCGTCTGAAGCACAGCTGCAGCTGCAGACTCAAGAAAGGCCATCAAACATGCAAGAGTGCAAGAAAGGCCTGTTGTAGTCCATGAAGAAGTACAGCCAGTGGCCCATCTTGGACTGCAGCCACCAGTTCCATACCGCGTAGGCAAGGACGACATACGCTGGGAAGATGGAGTGCTCAGCTCGCCTTGCTTTGCAGCCAGGCCGGACCATCTGGCGGCCGGCTGATGTTAAGATGAGCTTGATGTTCGACAAGGATCTCAGTCGTTGGACATTTCAGCCGAGTGGCAAGCTCCACTGGCAGAGAAGTGCCTCCCCGGTGAGCAGGATCACGTTG